GGGGGAAGTACGCGAGATATGCATTAGTTATTATGAGACAAATCGTCTTCAAAAAGAGGAGAGGGGGATTGGGGTTTATAGATCTTGTTGATTTTAATACGACTATGTTAGAAAAAGAGTTTTGGCGCTTGATGTCACTCAAATGTTTAACCCTAAGGAGTGATTTACTCTCTCAAATAAGAGGTTCAGTCGTAGTACTTAGGGATCGAATCCACAGGGAACTAGAGTCACAAAATAATTAATCCTAAGTGATTAAGCAAGGTTGAAAAAGGTTTAAAAAAATAAAATAAAAATGGGTAGCAATGGTAAGTTGCTGAGGAGATTGGTTTTAAAACAATAAGAGAAAATAGCTAGATTCAAGGTTATTATTCAGAAAATCAGGATTATAAATCTATGGATGTCTTAACGAATTGCTTGCAAATATATGAGAACTTCAATCCTTAGACAAATCTATAGCTGTCGCTAGTTAGACTCGTCCATTGATCTGATTGCCGAAAATATCGATCGATGTTTCTATCGTTGTATCGATCGATATGCTTTGTCGTCGATCGATTACTCTAGAGGAGTATCGATCGATATAAAGTATCAGATCGGACTGAAATGTGTTCACCCGATAATATCTATCAGACCGTCTATCGCATCGTGCCTTAATAGAGTCTGGGTTTAGCCAAATGATTTCAGGAAAATGACTATTAGATTAGTCACTCCATAATCATAACTCTAGGTAGCAAGTCTAGAGTAAGCATTAGGGTTTATTTGGATAATGAATATAACAATTCAACATACCATAGTTGGGGCTAATCCCTCATAACTATTTGAACCCTAATCTAACAAATGAATCTACTCAGACATAGCCAAGTGATTCATAGCAAAAGAATAAGATGAAAAGAAAATGCTTTTATTGCTAAGTATAGAATAGAATACAAAACTCTTAATTTCTGATTCTAAAACATGTCTTTTTAGGGCTCATAGGCATAACTATAAATACAAGTACAATTAGGTTACAAAACTCATCAGGGGCAATCTTGTAATTTGGTGAGAACTTGGGCTTCAAGTTGGCCAAATAAATCTTGCTCATTACGCTCTGTATCGATCGATGGTACATTGTGTACATCGATCGATGGAGTATATCGACTTCAACTTCGACGGAAACGTCATCGATTGATTACACAGGGTGTGTATCGATCGATATGTATCTCTTATGCCGGATCTTCATAGTCATCTTGGAAAACTCTTCTTTAAGCACCAAAAGGCACCTAAATCATCATTTTACCACAAAATGCTCATGAACCTGAAAACATACCTAATAGACTCCAAAACATAGATATTTATTATAAAAACATAGTAATACCATGACCAAAAACGGGTCAAAATCATGGTATATCAGCGCTTGACTGAGAAATCGGGTACTCTATTTTTTAGTGTGTTTAAAGGTCGGTATTTCAGGAATGCATCACCCCTGGAACATATATGATCATACCCACCATCTTATGGAGTATAGTCTCAACTAGATCTATGGTAAACAAAGGACTAATCAAAAAGGTGGAACACATGGTCTTCCATTTCAGTATGGAATGATCCTTGGCTCTCATCCATTCGCCCAAGACCAGAGTGATCAACACATTCTTCAACCTGACATTACAGTGGACTCACACATCAATACAAATGAAAGAACATGGAATTCACAGCGATTAGAGCATTGAAGATCTTGAAGATACAAATATTATAGAGAGTATACCTCTAAGTTGACATCCTTCTTCAGACAAAGATGGATGGTCTTTCACAAATAATGGAAAATATTCAGTCAAATCAAGTTATTAAGTGGAGAGAGAAATCCGGATACATGAATAGCCCCCTTAATAGTTGGACCTACTGTACTCCTTTTGAAGGCTCAATGTTGGAAAATACGGTGGCCACCATAGATCAAACATTTTTTTTTGTGGAAGCTTGTGTTAGGGTGTATATCGATAAAGAAGAATTTGCGGTCGAGAGAGATACAAGTATATATACAGTGCACATGTGGTGCAGCCGAGGAAAAATCATGTATTTTTTGAATGTCCTTCGGTTGTCCAAGTCTGAACTCTCTCAAGTATTCCTTTGAACCCGCAGATTTTTCCCCTTCAATCTAGTTTTGCAAATATGGATCATTTGTTTTAAGAGTCATACCATATATGGATAATCATCAATTTTCATGGATTATTAAGTATATTTGGAAAGCTAGAAATATAATGATTTTTAGTAATATAGATGTGGACCCTAAAGATACCATTAAGCTCGCAGAAACGGAAGCGACAAAATGGATTGAGGCTCAAAAATTACTTTTACAACAAACTACCCAATATGGAGACACGACTTTGATACATTTGTCTTTGATTTAGGGACGATGGTGTTTCACAGATGTATCATGGAAAGCCCATATAATTTTTCAGGACAAGGATGGTATAATACTCTAGAAGGTTTTAATGGTTTTATGAGGGAGAGAAACACAAGGGCTAGCCTTTTACCCTTACATGCCGAATTGGAAGCTTTCATCTGGGGATTAGAAAATATGAGGAATCTAAACCGATTTCACGTGAAGTTTACAACAGACTGTTTCCAACTAATGAAAATGATTTCTTAATTTGTAGAATGGTCAGCATACACAAGCTATTTAGAAGATATCTGGCTTCTGTGAGAAAGATTTAATCATTCCATGATTATTCATGTATCAAAAACGTATAATACATTATAAGGATAGATAGTCTGGCATGAAGGGTTTAGAAGTAATTGTCATTTGTCGTTCATGTTGACGCAGAATTTCCAAACAGAGTTATAAAATTGGTTCGTAGAATCTTAATTGAGTTTGTAAGAAGAAGAAAAAATCAATAAGAGGTAATCGATCAAATAGGGGAAAATCACATAAACTTTCAAAGTGGCACTCACTAACACTTTAAACTTTGAATTGATTTAACTAGCATATTAAACATTCAACGTAGTTTTTGTATCATAAAAAACCTTCAACTTGGCTTACTTAGTTAATAGCAATAAGAAACATATATAAAATTAGAACATTACAGAAAAAAAATCTAAAATTGAATTTAATAAAAATTAAAAAAAATTCTTAAATTTTTTTTAATATGCAAGTATTGCAAAAAAAAAGTGAAAATAGTTTTTCAAAAAATCATATAAAACTTATTAAATATTCTCATAAGATTAAATAATTATTAACATTATCATCATTAACATGAACACTCTTCTTCATATCATAATTAAGAATAACATTTTTTGTTATATAGATAATGACAATAGTATCAAAATATATTTTAAAAAAAAAAATAATTGTATTTAAAATGCAAGTTTTACGAAAAAAAAGAATAAAGTTTTTTAAAAAATCATATAAAAGTTAGAAACTATTTTCGTAAAAATTAAAACAATTTAAACATTATCATCATTTATATGAATACTCTTCATCATGTCATAATTAAGAGTAAAATTTTTGGTTATATAGATAATGACAATAGTATCAAAAATCATTGTTATCTGTGTATCAAAAATTATCACCATTCGAAGATGCTAACATATCAAAATTAAATGCTTTAAAAATTATAAAATGTTATTATTAGTGGTGATATGACGAAAAGTCTTACTTTTAATGGTGCTATATCAAAATTATTTATTTTTAAAATAATAATTGAGATTTATATAATTTTTTTTAAAATAAAAAGAATTTATATGAATACTCTTCATCATGTCATAATTAAGAGTAAGTTTTTTGGTTATATTGATAATGACAATAGTATCAAAAATCATTGTTATCCGTGTATCAAAAATTATCACCATTCAAAGATGCTAACATATCAAAATTAAATGCTTTAAAACTTATAAAATGTTATTATTAGTGGTGATATGATGAAAAGTCTTACTTTTAATGGTGGTATATCAAAATTATTTATTTTTTAAAATAATATTTTAGAGATTTATATAATTTTTGTTAAAATAAAAAGAATATATATATATATTCACAAAATTGAATTTAAAATAAAAAAAAATTAACACTTTTTAACTTTGAAGAAATTATATGTTTTTTGAAATTAAGATTTTTTAATTTTTCTATATTTAAAAGACTCTTTTGTTTTGCAAAAATTGCTTTTTAATAAAAAATCAAAATTTAAGAATACTTTAATTAAAATCAAATTTTCATTTTTCTGTAATTTATAATTTTTTATTTTTATTTTTATTTTTATTCTTATTTATTGTTAATTGTATTTGTTATTTAAATAAATAAAAAAACCAACACGTCACCTACTAATTACAGGTTATCAGATCATATATTTGACTTGATAAATAAATAAACCAAGTTGAAGGTTTTTAATGATACAAAAGCCAAGATAAATGTTTAATATACTAGCTAAATAAGTTTATGGTTTAAAATGCTAATGATGAAGAAGGTCTCTTATGCTATTTTGTTAAATGAGAAGTGAATAGATAATCTCAATATTAGGCCCAGCCCCACAATAATTTACGTAAGTAAACAATGTAGTATTAGGCCTAGGCCTGTTGTAGTCATTTAATCTTTCGCCATTTTTCTTTATTTTTTTGCTAAATTGTAATACTCTTTCGCCTTTATTTGGGGGTCAAAAATTACTCTTTCATTTGTGTGTTGCAATTACTTAGCAGGAGAACCATACTAACAAGTAAAGAAATTCCGATTGCGAAATAGTTTCGGAGATTTTGGCTTTTTAGAGTCACAGTATAGTCCTCGTGCCAAAAGTTATTCACGGAAAAAACTCAATTATTGAAAATGTGGAACCATGTCCATAATTTGCTCTCTAGACGCCTTATATTTTGTAATTAGTATTGTTAAAGTGAGTCGAGCTGAATATCAATCAAATTCTTCTAGTAATCTTTTATCCCGAGTGCGTGAGAAGATCGTGTAATAGCGTATTGGGACTGAACTCTCAAACTTTTGCTTTCTAGATACGTTATCCTTTCTTTCCTTTTTTTTTATGTTAGGAAACTTGTCTGAAATAACTTGAAAGAAAATAAGAAATCCAAAGAGATAAGAATCCCCTATTTAAAACCCGTCTTGGGACTGGGGACTGGTGGTGAAGTTGACCTTTAACTTCTTCCTATTTCTTTAGTCATCTTTTCTTGATTCATTTCGGTCATCCCCCAAACTCAAAAGCATGGAACGACTTCGTCAACTCATCATCTTCTTTTTTCTCTTCTTGACCGTTCTTGAACATGCTTCTTCTGCTCGGATCTTGAGTATCGCCGCCAAGCCCGACAGGCATGATATTGCTGCAAGTGCTCGTTGGCTTGTCTCTCAGAACATTTGGGGTGTACTCAGGTATCTCTAGCTCCTCGTGAGCCAAACCTTACAGTATTGGGCTCTCAATTATTACAGAAAGTTCCGTTGCTTCTTTAGCAGAATGAATCCAATCATTGATGATAATATCAGACGAAATGTTGTTAAACTTGCTGAGATTTTGCTTCTTCAAACTTTTGATCCTTTATATATCCTTGTTGGGTTCTTGAGATTTTCTAATTATTAGCTTCATCAAGCTTTCATCCTTTTGACTAATACTGAAATTTGACAAAAAAGTCAAGTTATGATCCAATCATTGATAAGAGTATACATGAACATTGTTTTGCTATGGGTTGACTTCACCAAGCTTTCTTCTTCTTTTTTATCACTACAAACAGCGATCTTACTAGTTGACTTTTGTTAGATTTGTATGTGTGAGTGAAAGTGTTTGTTGTTATTATAACCGTTGTAATAGTGGTTGTCATCAAATTTGCTGCAAATGTATGTCTTTGGTGATTTTGAGTCTAACAAATGGGTTTACTAATTAATTTTGGTGATTTTGTTCTCTTGTTGCAGCACATTGTCCATTGAGCATAATGGAGCACCTTTCGGGTAATCTTGTCTTGATAAACCAAATCATAATGTGTTTTCTTTGTTCTTGGTCTGTTATAACTTATAACTAAACATGTGTTATATGTCTTCTGAATAGTGTGTGTTATTTGTTATAACTAAATTAGTTAAGATCTTGGTCTCTTTCAAACTTTTTTGGCTTTGCAGGAATGTTGTATCATATAGTGATGGTTTGCCGGGAAAAGGCAACGGTATACCATACTTTTACTTGACAATTCTTGATCCAACCACAAGAAACGCATTAAAAGACTCGAGGGCTTCATTCGCAGTCAGTGAATCTCCCATTGGAACTTGCAAGAGAGATCCAATGGACCCTACTTGCTCTAAGCTAACCCTCACTGGAAAGGTATATAAACTTCTGCAAAAACCAAGATCTTCTTACCAAACTACAAACTTGTTTAATCTACTTATGCTTTGGTTCTTTATCTCATAATGTCTCAGTTGTTGCAACTGGGTGAAGGATCTGATGAAGAAAAAGTAGCCAAAAAGGCTCTATTCACTAAGCATCCAGAGATGATGGGTAAACGTTTTCTCTAACCTGTTAGCTTCAGATTCATGAATTATTGTATTCATCATCAGTGTTTCTTGTAGATTGGCCTAAGGGACATGAGTTCAGTGTCTTCAAACTGGAGATCATCAATATATTTCTGATAAACTGGTATGGTGGAGCTAAATCCGTCACTGTAGATGAATACCTTCGTTACAAGGAGTAAGTACCAATGCGTTCTGAAAACATCGGTAATCTCTGAGAGACCTAACTATGAGATTTAGACTGTGGTTTTGCTTTTAGTGTTTGGAGCTCATAGTTTTTGAATGTTTTTCAGGACCAAAGTCGCTTCTTTTTTATGAAAATCTCGCCTGGGAGTTGAGCAAATGGTGAAGAAGAAACATCATGAACCTTGTATATTGATAACACAATAAAAAATGTGTTCAAACTCTTCTGTAAATTGAATATTGTTTATAGCCTTTCAATTACTTTTATGTGGACATGATGAATATAAAAGTATTCATAAATTACCACAAAACCAATTTCAAGAAGGTACAGTAGATACAAATATATTGCTATGAATAAAATTTACAAGTGTGCAGAGTTTGATTGTTAAATGTCTCTTGTTTCTTTGATTCTTACAGTTTTTCTTTGGCGTGTGATTATGTTTCTGCCATGTGATTTGTTATTAGTTTCGAGTTCATCAAGGATTAAGGAATGATCTCTGTTTATTAATGGTTTTGTGCTCTTCAAATTTTGTTTTGCCTTGTCTTGTGGCTACATGACGGGCATCATACTGTGTGTTTTTTATGAAGTGCAATTGGCGGCTATGAAACAATGTCGTCTTTTTTTTGGCACAGAAACACAACAGAATCTAGAGGCTATAGCCCATTATAAGCCTGTAAATGCAAAATCTATGTCAAACCGACTTTGTAATTTGAAATTCGTCAGATCACATCTTGACCGTCCAATTGCGAAGGTTGAAAAGGAAAATATCAAACAGGAAAAGAAAGGAAATTTAATCAGAAGACCGTTGAAATTTATCAGATCAAATCTTGACCGTAAATTATTTTAAGCAGAAAAAAGGAAACTATAATGATATGTGATCGTTGAAATCAATCACGCTATATAATAACAGCTTCCCCTCCCAAAGAGCTAATCACAAACTCTCCTCTTTAACTCTCTATCTCTCTCGTTTTGCTTTTGATCTCTCTGTCTCTATCTCAGAATATTTTTAGGGTTTGCTTCTATCTAAAGGTCTTCGTCTTCACAGTTAGGGTTTAATTACTACCACCACCACCGATAACTAAGAAGAATGATTCGCAAACTCTCAACAACGTCTTCGTTCTACTTCCAGTTATATCAGATTGTTGATGACCCTTCCTCGGATCAGATCATCTCGTGGAGCAAAAGCAGCCCTAACATCTTCGTAGTTTGGGACTTGAAAAAGCTTCGCAGAGACATTCTTTTGAAATCCCCTGGAGTGTTGTTGGGCAGAAACTTAACGGAGTTTATCGCAAACCTCCGATCTCATGGCTTTCGAAGTGTCCTCAAGGGTTTTGGGGAATTGGAGTTTGAACATGATGATTTTATGAGAGGCTTTGTTACTAAGAAGAAGAAGATGGTCAAGGCTTTCTCCGACAGGGTTGAAAAGTTTGATGCTCAGATCAAAGCCATCATGTGTAGATTCAAAGCCAAGAAATCTTCCCTCAAAGTTGACAATTTCGACCAGAATCTAATAATCTGATCAACAAGAAAATAATTCAAAAGTAGAGAGAATCTCTCTTGCAAAGTTTACGTACGGATCTATGATCAAATTTTCTTCTTTTATTTGTAACTAGATTTCTAATTTTTCTTCTTTAGAAACAGTATTGAAGTAACGGAAATTTGTGATGTAAGTTGCCCATGGTTCGAATACAAATTGAAAGTTTTGAAATTTTTTAATCCATGCAAAGTTTTAAGGATTTTGATCAGATATTCATCTTTTCTTGTAACGAAAATTTGTGAATTTTAATTTAGAAACAGTATATGTTTTGTAGTTGTTCTATGTTTTGATGTAATAATTGCAAGTTATGTGAGTATATTAATCAACCTGTGGTTTTGTTGCAGACTGATTTTTTTTTTTTTTTGGTAAACATGTTAAGATATTATTACCATTTTTAGTTTTTGACAGAATTATAGAGAAAACAAGAAACAGATAATTGAAATGCAACTAAACTAACTAAACAGAAGCATTAACTAAAGTAAGAAGGGGAATATAAAACTAGCTAACCAGCCAACACAGTGGATCCAACAGAGTCGATACAAGTCGCTTGCCACAAAAAGATGAACCGCAATGAAATATGAGATCCTGAGCCCGGTAGAATTTGGCGAACCCGATGAACAGGTCTTTAAGATAAGGTCCGTCCAAGAACAGCTCGCTAATGACCTCCAAATCTAAATCCAACACGCACGGACCGCTAGACTAGAGACCAAACACACCCACGAAACAGCCAAGCTTTATTCAAATATGAACAAACACAGGCTGCGATGGAGACAAACCTGAAACGAGTTCTTCAGGTCCTACAAAAAGAAAGGGAATAGTCTGCTGAAAAAACCAAGAGGCCATCCAAGCACTGGGATGACCATTCCTTAACCTGGAGACCTCGCCGTCCACACAACCGACTGACCCAACCGGAGATACAAGACGACGATCTGATCCGAAACAGAGAACCTGCCCCGGTCTTTGAGCGCTTCGGAGACACGCCTTGATGGAACACGACGAATGAACACACGAAGCAGAACCAACAGAAACTCTAACCACTCATGAAGAGAGAAGAGCACACTCGACCAGATTCATGAGAGAGGAAAGCAAAAGGAGAGCAAATTCAGGTGACAGAGACGAGAAAGCCATAGACGACAAACCCTAATCACGCCACAGAAAATGCAGACGCAAACCCACAGAAGAAACGATAGTCACACGACCACCCCTATCCTGTGCACGAACCGACAGACAACAGTACCTGCCGTCTCCCTTGAGCAGAAGCAAACCGCCTGAAGACACCAGACCCCTAGCGCCGGCAAGACGAATAGCATAACGCACCTCTCCACGCAAAGATAAACTTCGGATTCAGACCAACGAGACCAAGGAGAGAGCAAACCAACACAACACGCGCCTCCACGCACAAACACCTCGCTAGATCTAAAAAGGAGAAAATTAGATCGAAGAGGATATTTACCCTAAAAGCCGACTACGCACACCCACTCGCCACACCGCCTCACTGAATCTCCAGAACGGAGGCCACCAGCCTTGGATCTACAACCCCCCGGAGCAGTTGCAGAGGAACCCATGGCGGAGCACGACCCAGAGGCCCAAGCATATCGACGGCATAGACAGATAAGGATGAAACGGAGCAAAAAGAAAAGAGGGAGAGGAGAGGAAAAAGCCTCCGGAGACCACGCGCGTCACCGCAGGTCGCCGGAGCAAGGAGGTTCAAAAGTTTCGAAGGTCGGAAGAGAGAAGGAGGAGAAAAGTTTTTGAAAGAGAGGACTCTGTTATGAAAGTTTTTGTTGCAGACTGATATGTATCTTTGCTTCTGCCCTATTATCATGCGATGCATATTTTCAGTCTCTCGCTGCCTTTTGTCTTACCAGAATTAATTTCAAAGCATTTGCTTCTGTGTTTCCGTAAATGACTGTTTAACGTCGGTTCACCATCATCAAACATTGTATATTGGTAACACAATAAAAGTGTGATTAGTTCTTCTGTAAATTGACTGTTGTTTATAGCCTTTCTATTACTTTTCTGTTGGCCATGATGAATATACAATCTATTCATAAATCACCACAATCCAAATTCAAGAAGTTCTTTGGTTATCTTTATAGAAAATGTACCAGGTGTTTTTCAAAGAAACTCATACTTATTAGCTCGACATAACCCACACACACAAAACGCTTTTGTAGTGACACAGAGCAAATGATTTCTCATTCTTTCTAATGCTGACTTTTGGGAAATTTCAAAAGCCTGGTCCAACCTCAGCAGCAGCTGTATCATCATAATCTCTGCATTAAACACATGGATGATACATAATATCGAGCTGATACAAGAATTTTAATTGTTCTTTGAATAGAGATTTGCCAAGGAAGCAAAGTCCACTGCAAGGGAAAAGCGCTGTACCATACTGTTCACACGGTAAAAACGCAGGAGCAAAATGAAAAGCATAAGTGTGGCATTTAGAAATGACTAGCTAGAATAAACAGCTTAGGAACTTGGGCAGGCGACTCTTCGTTGCTTGCTGATCTCGCTCGGGGCTCAACATCCCGGTTTCTTGGAAGCAGACACTTGATACGTGAGGAGCTGCTGACATGACACTTGCATAAGGATAAGAAGAGAAAGATTGACCTGGCATCTGTAGAAGAAAGTAAAGATTCAGTTTGTTAAAAAGAGAGAGAGTCAGTTGATCAATAAACTAGCGAGTTCATATCAAAACTCTGCGTGCTGGTACCTATAAAAGAAAAAGATGATATATAAAGGGATGGGTATAAAAAGAAAAAAATATTCACCTTTTTGTTTATTCTCACATTCAAATTTTCTAAAGCATCAGCTTCAAGTAAATCACAGCCATGTGCATGGAGGAACTGGAGGCTCTGTGGAAGAACTTCCACTGATTTGAGACTTTTGCAGTTATTGAGACAGAGAGTTACCAATGAGGTAAGATCAGAGATGCTTGATGGCAATGTCTCAAAATCATGGCTGCTGAGATCTAAATATGTCAACTTGGTGTAAGGACTAAGCTGATCCGAGAATGGCTCAACATTGTTGCAGTTGTCAAGGCAAAGCTCAAGCAAACAGTATCTTCCCGAATCAGAGTGTTTCACCAATGATCTGAGGTTCCTACAGTTTAAAAGAGTGAGTGACTGCACCTGAGCTAGCTCTGGCAATTTCTCGAGTTTCCTGCAGTTTTGAAGCCTTAGAGTTTTCAACAGTGGAAGTGTACTCATAGCTTCTGGTAAGTTCTCAAAATCATTTCCACTCAAGTCCAGTTTTTCTAAGAATTCCAACTGACCAATCCCATCTGGTAATATTTGAATGTTTAGGTTGATTAGTTTTAGCTCTTTCAGGGTAAGGATATCTGGAAATCTGTGAAAAACCATTGGTGGGCCTTTCTCTTTGTAGCTGAGCCTCTTGATATTGAGCGAGACAAATTTGTTGAACTCCGAGATGAGCTGAGCTTGCTGGAGACTCATCTTTGTTGTAACAGGACCAAAGGAGAAGTATTCAGCATTTCCTTCACAAAATGAAGGATATTGAAACTCTATGTCTCCCTCTATCGATACGTTCGTAAGTTCCATTTTCACATTTGCAGTTGGGAACATCACTGCAACACATTGCGTCCCAGACACTTCCTTTATAACAACAGACATGAGACTCTCAGGCCCACCGTTGTATGATAGGTTAAGCCTACGTAGGGCAGACGTTTCTCCAATGGACTCTGGAACCCCTTGCAGTCGCGTGCATTGTTCTAGAATCAACTCTTCAAGATTCTTGACATCTGAAAGGTTTGGAAGTCGCTTGAGCTTCTTAGATCCTGTCACATCTACTCTCTTCAATTTCTTCAAATGCTGAGAAAAGTAGAAAAAATAATTAGTTAGATTTCACACTTTGCTATAATTAACAAAAAAAAAAAAAAACATTAAATCACAGGCAAGTTTACCGGTGTTCCACCCCAGAATGTTTTTAGACTGCTGTGACGCAGATTGAGTTCAACAATAAAATATTCATCAACCTTGAGAGGAAATGTTCTCAATGGAAGTGAATCCCAGTGGAGTAACCTTACGCTATAAGGAAGGTTAATGTCATTTCTAATGACCGTCAGATTCGGTTTTATGTTTTCAACATGCTTGTAAACCTTTAAAAACTTAAGGCCACGCATACGGTTGAAACCACTTTCCATAGAAAACGGAGAGTTCAGCTCACATATATGTAGGGATATGCATTCAGTTACTTTTGTTCCCTAATGAGAGAAACAGTTTAAGTGAGTTGTCGGTTGTAAACATGAGTTTAAAGTGAGTTGTCGATTAAGTAGATACTTACGTCTTCGTAAACCAGTGCATCACGAATAGTCTCAGCATCTCCTAGGAACTTTCCACAGTCAAGCATAATTCCTCTTCCCATTTGTTCAACCAGCTTATGCAAGATTACATATTCACTGGTTGCTATATTTATGAGAGATTTCTCTGCTAAAATTTTTAAACATAGTTTCTTCTCATCTTCATAACCATCAAGTAGTGAAATGACACGCTGGAAAGTTCCTCCATTAAAGAGACAGGCCACCTGAAGGAACACATTCTGATGTTGTTTCGCTAAGCCATCATAGCTAAGTTTCAAGACTTCCATTACCTTCTCGTCAGGATTACTTTCAAGTCCACATATTGCTTCTTCCCATTCCCCAGGAGAGTTGTCCCTTCCACGGAGAAACAAGGCATAGGCTCTAAGTGCGGAAGGAAGCCCGTGAGCAAGGCCAGCTGCTCGGACTGAGAGTTGCTCAAAATCATCACAAGGAGGAGGACTTCCTCCTTTAAAAGCAATCTGCTTAAACATCTTCAGGGAAGCCTCATCGTCCAAACACTTAACCTCATAAATGGTTTCTACTCCACAGCTACGGAGCAAGCCCCTATCTCGGGTGGTTATGATGATTATGCTCCGAGGACCAAACCAGGCCGTCTCTTTTGCTAGAGCATGCACCTGGTCTATTTTATCCACACCATCAAGCACAAGGAGAACACTTTTGTGTATAAGTCTCGACCTTATTTCTTCGCCTCCAGCTTCCACGCTCCACAAACTAATTTCCTCTTGGAGGGTGCTGTAGAGAAGTTCCTTTTGTAAATGTTGTAAATCAAGGTCTTTGTGAATACCCCTAACCTCTTGTGAGAAATATCTGGCTTTAAACTGAAGTGAGAGCTGGCCATAGAGACACTTGGCGATGGCGGTTTTGCCAATGCCTCCCATCCCCCAGATTCCAATCATACGAACCTCATCATACTCTGAGTCCATGTCCAAGAGATACTTGAGACTTTGCATGTGAATTTCCACTCCAACAATATGTGTCGCGTCTATGTTACGCCTTGCCGTGCGATCTGAAATCTCTTGGGCGAGAATTCTGACCATAGTTCCCTCATCAGTGCTGCTGACATTGAAAACGAAAACTCATAATCAATCAATTTTCAAGGAATTAGCCTGACTTTTATCCAAATTTGATTTGAGCAAATCAAAGTATGACCTATTGGAGTTTTCACTTTGTATAAGTCTTTAGTTGCTGTCAATCAAACTTTTTATGGTCAATTTATTTAGCTTTCGGTTGCATTATTTTACGATCTTTCAGTTGAATGTAATGGTGGCCATCACTCTCAATATAATTGGTATCAGAGCTCTATTTTTCATAGTTGGAAACAAAAACTTGTTAGCTTCAAAACAAAGTGTGAGGAGCAATAGGAGATGACAGGATTAAAATGCCCCAATTCAATTTTTATTGGAACCTTTTGAGTGAAGTGATGGAGAATTTCTTTTGAACCAAAGGAATGTGGAGCCTGATTGAGACCGGTTCTTAAGAACAATTAACCACAACGATTCTGTCAACAGGGCAATTTAATCAGCTCAAAACTAACGATCACAAGGTCAAACACTACCTCTATCAGAGCATCCATAAGATTACATTTAGGAAATTCTTGGAGAGAAGAAACTAAAAAGAGATTAAAGAGGTACTAAATAAGAAATAATTTGAGGACATTGAAGCGTACTTCACTTGAGTCTTAGCCATCACCAATCTAATGAGGAGCACTGGAGAAGTGATGGCCGATTAGAAGGTTGTCAGAAAATTCTCTGAACACTAAGCAAGAAGTTCTTGTATTATATAGTAGAAGTGTGGGTGACACACAACGAAGAAGGAGAATGTGAAGAGAAGAGTTGCGTGTTAAAAGAGTATCCAATAAGATAGTGACAGCTGTTTTTGGTCTAACAAACGAGTTGGAGCAGCCATTGGCTCAGTGAGTTGGAGGACGAGTTACAGCTAGCTTAAACAGAATTCGAGTTGGTTTTTCTCATTTTATCCAGAAATTGTATTGAACTCTTGGTTCTTGAAAACGTTAATACATTGATTCATTTCATCTGAGGATTCATCGAGATCCTCTACGTTTGGATTACAGATTGTTGTTTACTGAATGACAATTTGGTTATAGCGATTGTTCGTCACTATCAGTGGTATCAGAGAAAACGAATCCTTGGAGATCAGAAACAATGGTGGAGACGAGGTCACATGCACCGTTGAAAGGTGTCGCAAGAGAGACGGAGGAAGCGTTGAGTGTTTTATTTGAGCAAATGACGGAGAGGACTCAAGCTTTGGAAGTTTCGGTATCGAAGATAGATGGTAACATCGCCGAGATCTTTGCTTTCATGAGGAAAATGTCGAGCGGCAAAACTCTGATGGAAGCGACAACGAGCGGTGAACAGATTCGAGATGCAACTTCACTGATCCATTCTTCGACTCCAGATATTCAAAGGGAACATAGTCAACATTATCGAACAGGTACTCACAATACCTACAATGGGATGACTAGGTTATCGAGGATAAAATTTTCTAGATTCAATGGTGAGAAGATTATAAAATGGTTGAGTAAAGCAGAGCAGTTTTTGCATATCGATAACACACCAGAGGAATCTAAAGTTGGCATAGCTTTGATACACTTTAACAGGGTGGCATCGGCATGGCACCAAGCTTTGATTCAGGAAGAAGAAGGTCGGGGTATGTTGCAGAATTGGCAGATCTATAAGATACTTATCAAAGAACATTTTGAGGAGGTTTTAGATGACCCAATTGCAGAATTAGAAATTTTAAAAGAGACTGAAGGTATTAAGGAGTATCATGCTAAGTGCTGGATTGAGACTAGATACACAGATGCATATTTGCTTGTTTCGATCTCAATCTACAAGACAATGTTTGGTGTTGGGTAGGCTATATGAACATGCTCATCCTCATAAAGTGTGGCCCAATGGGAAGTTACAAGGGAAAAGTCAGCAAGCTAAATAGAAATGGGAGTCTCAGCTTATGGGTAAAATAAAGGAGAATTCCCAGCCTTTGTGGAAGTTTTTATCTAGTGCAAGAATGAGTGATAGAAGAGCCAAAGGTTTATGCTATTATTGTGATGAGAAATACACACCGGATCACTATCTTAAGCACAAGAAATCTCAGCTATTTCTTTTGGAATATGATGGTGCCTTATGTCAATGTGCTTATGTCAATGTGCTTTGTCCGTGAGTGCTGGACTGGATTCTTCGAGATATCAATAGCGATTTTGTTGTCATAGTGTACCAGAAAGGGCCCAGAAGTCATTCCGTAATCGGCTGACATCTGTTTCATCCAAATCAGTTGCGTACAGCAATTACCCATAGCAATGTATTCTGCTTCTGCAGTAGATAGTGACACAGAGTTCTGTTTTTTGCTCGTCCATGATATGAGATTGTGACTTAAGAAGAAACAACCTCCACTGGTACTTTTCCTGTCATCAGCACATCCAGCCTAATCAGCATCGCAGTAACCTACCAGATTCTTGTTGGAGTTCTTTGCAAACTGTATTCCAAGAAGTCATTATCTACTACAGAAAGGGCCCAGAAGTCATTTCGTAATCGGCTGACATCTATTTCATCCAAATCAGTTGCGTACATCAACTACCCATAGCAATGTATTCTGCTTCTGCAGCAGATAGTGACACGGAGTTCTATTTTTTGCTCATCCATGATATGAGATTGTGACCTAAGAAGAAACAACCTCCACTGGTACTTTTCCTGTCATCAGCACATCCAGCCCAATCAACATCGCAGTAACCTACCAGATTCTTCTTGGAGTTCTTTGCAAACTATATTCCAAGACTTTCAGTTCCCTTGACGTACTTGATGATCCGTTTGACTGCATTTAAGTGAGACATCTTGGGTTTAGCTTGATATCTTGCACACACCCCAACACTGAAGGAGAGATCAGGTCTGCTGGCTGTAAGATACAACAGACTTCCTATCATTCCTCTGTACATAGTTGCATCCACGTCTTCCCCTGCTTCATCTCTTGCGAGTTTTACTGAAGTACTCATGGGAGTTCGTGAAACTTTGCTCTTCTCAAGCCCAAATCTTTTAACAAGATTGTTGGCATAGGCACTCTGTGAGATGAACACCCCTTTCTCTGATTGAGTCACTTGAAGACCCAGAAAGTACTTGAGCTCTCCACACATACTCATCTCGAACTCATGCGTCATGTTGTTCACAAACTCATCCACCATTGACTGTGAGGTACTTCCAAAGATGATGTCATCCACATAGATTTGGACAATGATGATGTTCTTCTCCTTCTCCATGAAGAACAAGGTCTTGTCTACACTTCCTCTGGTGTATCCTCCTTCTATTAGAAAACTGGTGAGACGCTCATGCCACGCTCTTGGTGCTTGCTTCAAACCATACGGTGCTTTCTTCAACTTGTACACATGACCTTGGTGAGTATAATCTTCAAACCCCTTTGGTTGCTCAACATACACTTCTTCTTGCATTATTCCGTTCAGGAATGCACTCTTCACATCCATCTGATTTACCTTGAAGTTAAAGATGCATGCCATTCCCAAAAATAGCCTAATGGATTCCAAGCGAGCAACTGGTGCAAACGTTTCTTCAAAGCCTACTCCTTTAATCTGTGAGTATCCTTGTGCCACAAGCCGTGCCTTGTTTCGAACCACTCCTCCATGTTCATCTGTCTTGTTCTTGAAGATCCATTTGGTTCCTACTATGTTAACTCCTTCTGGTCTAGGTACAAGTTCCCACACATCATTCCTTGTGAACTGCTCTAGTTCTTCCTCCATTGACACAATCCAGTATTCATCACGTAGTGCTTCACCATATGTCTTTGGCTCCATGGTGGACACAAAGCAGGCGAATTGCACCATCTCCCTGAAGTTAATCACCTTTCCACGAGTCTTTCGTCCCTCATTTAATTCTCCGATTACATCATCAACAGAGTGATTCCGATGTACTTGTTGAATCACTTGAGTTGATGCAACCTCTTCTGATTCAGTTGTTTCTTGCACTTCTTCTCCCTTCTTGGCCTGTGATGCCTCTGTTTCCTCATCTGACTCATAATCTTCCCAGATGATTACCGACATATCATCAAATACCATGTTCAGTGATTCCATGATTATGGCTGACCGTTTGTTGAACACTCGGTATGCTGTGCTAGTCCCTGAATAATCCAGGAAGATACCTTCATCGCTTCTTGAATCAAACTTCCCAAGATAGTCCTTATCATTTAGAATATAGCACCTGCAACCAAAAACATGAAAGTACCCAAGGTTAGGTGTTTTACCTGTCCACATTTCATAAGGAGTTTTTGTGGTCCTTTTTCTCACATACACCCTATTGATGATGTAGCACACAGTGCTCAGTGCCTCAGCCCAGAACCTTTGAGGTATCTTGTTGCCATGTATCATAGCCCTGCCCATCTCTTGTAGCGTTCGATTCTTTCGTTCAACTACACCATTTTGTTGTGGTGTCCTGGGAGCTGAGAACTGGTGAGCTATTCCTTTCTCTTCGCAAAACTGAGTCATGAGTTCATTCTGAAACTCTCCTCCATGATCGCTACGTATCTTGTTGATTCCTCCTCTCTCATTGATCAACTGTAAAGCCCATATCTTGAAACTCTCCACTGTTTATGACTTTTCTCTGATGAATCTCACCCACGTAAACCTTGTGAAATCATCCACTAGTACAAACACATACTTCTTTCCTCCAATACTCTCGATTTGCATTGGCCCCATGAAATCCATGTGAACTAGATCCAATGGTGCCAAGGTTTGTACGTCTGGAACCTTCTTGTGTTGTACCTTCACCTGTTTGCCTTGGGTGCAAGCTCCACATACGATCTTTTCTTCTAACCGAAGCTGAGGTACTCAACGTATCATGTTCTTGTTGATTAGAGTGACCATGTTTCGCAGATTCATGTGTCCTAGACGTTGATGCCAAAGTTCTATATCACCTAGCGAGGATTGTGCAGACAGGGCAGAAACACACTTAGCTTTCTTTTCCCACATGTAGCAGTTGTTGCCAGCTCTAGTCCCTTGAATAACAGTTACACTATGCTTGTTAATAGCTCAACAC